GATCATGGCAGGATCAGAGCTTCTGTCGGCCAAGCAGCCATCAAGGACTCTCGACATTGTTCCCCTTTTAACCATTCCTGACCGGCAAGTCTCATCCTACATACTGATTTTAACAGCTTGGTTCAAGCCTGCGTCTACACGGGTGGAGTTTAGGCAGAATTTGAGGCAGAGGGACACGGTGACACAAGTGATTTAATGTGTAACGTCTTTCTTGGATCATGTATGCAGCCCCTGGCTGAAGCCAGTCCTTCCTCTCCACTCTCCAGCGCCAGAGGAGACGGGGTGGGGACCTGGCACAGGGCGCTCGAGAGATGGAATTGGTTAATTAATTAATTAGTTAAGTCTCGGTCCAAGCGGGATGAGCACTGGTGGCCCACCGAGCTCACACGTCTTCTGGTTCGAGGCACAGCACCCAGGCGATGCACACAGAGCCTTCTTTCTTCCTCGAGGAAGAGTGCCCCTTTCAGAACCTGCACAGGCAAAGGAAATGGAAAATCCCAGAGCATCCCGGGCCCCTCTCCATTTCCAAGGGCACTTCGCCTCTCCCAAGTTCAGGGACAGGACAGGGCCTTTGCAAGCGGGCTGGGTCCTGTGGCCAAGCAGCGGGTTCTGTAGCTGGCAGCTGCTGGCAGCACTGGCCGTGTTTGCCCAGGAGGGGAGAGGTCCCCGCGTGCCGACCGCCCAGCCTTGACCACGTTGTCATCAGAAGACAGCTCCGGAACCCCTCCTGGCCGTCCTGGGCCACAGCCCCGAGCAGAGCAGCAGACACGATGGCTTTTCTGAGAAGCTGCTGATCTCAACCCCGCTGGCTGTACATTCCTGGATGATGAGGGAGGGATTCCAGTGTTTACTTTGAACAATGTTTTCCTGTGTCTGAACCGACTGGGTGTTAAATTCTTCCAGATTTCTGGCTCCGCGTTGCAAGTCCAGCGGGAGAGAAACAGGTTTACGGCGTTTGGCAGGGGGAGCAGAAGCAGGGTCGGTCTGGGCACCTTCTGTGTCTAGAATTTCCACTTGGTGGATGGAAAAGCTGTCCGCGCCGGCTCTGTGGGCTCTGCGCCTGGGAGGGGGGTTTGCTGTGGTCCCAACTCAGAGCCCCTGTGCTTGAGTCTTTCACATTTCCCACTCTAGAGGGCAAAAGTTAGCTTTCCTTTTTTTTTTTTTTTTTGGTTTGTTTGAACCACAGCAGGGAATGAGAACAAACCAAATTGTGAAGGCCAGGCCTTGCAGTGTTTTCTCTGTTCGTATAAACCCAGAAGTTGTGCTCATAAGGAATTCATTTGGTGGGATATTGGGAAACCGGAGTGAATTCCGGTTTCCAGGGCCTGTGGTGTGAGGAGGTTTCAAGGACGTGCAGGAGGGCAGAGCTGGATGGGAGACTGGAGACCCGAATCCTTAATTTTACACAGGGGGAAACTGAGGCACGGCGCGGCCTAGTGATATGAGGGCCAGAATGTTGGGTTGGAAGGAACCATCCCCAGCAGAGCTGAATGGATCTCTCAGAATTACAGGGGTTGGGGCCTGGGCAACTTGTAACTATTGCTAGTTCTTGTTGCTCAGGAAGATGACCACACAACCACTTGGGGCCACGGGAGACATTCTTCATTGAGTGTTGATAAATCAACGGCTTTAAAGATAGAACACTTCAGGAAACCCGTGGGCTCCATTCAAAGATAAAGGGCTCTTGACTTCGACCATGCACACGAACAGTGTCTGCATTCTCATGTTCTGAGCCGTGTGCAAGGCAGGGAGATCTCTCATGGGATCCCATAAGGACTTACTCTCTGGAGAGTTCTTGAAAGCTCTAGCTTCTGGGCAGGTGCTGTCAACAGGTGCTATCAGCCTGTTGAATTGGAGCAGCCCAAATCCAAGGAGGGCATGGGGCGGACAGTGACCTTGACACGCACATCATTTTAGACCTTGTGCTTTTGGACCCAGGAAACCGGCTCCTGGATCCCTTTTGTGTGTGTGTGTGTGTGTGTGTGTGTGTGTGCACAAACAGGTAAGAAAGATTGGTGCCAAGCCTACTGTCTTCAGGACCTAGTGAAGCCCAAAGAATATTTAGGTAGTGGGGCTGGATATAATCGTTCCATGATAAGACCCGGCATTTCCATCTGGCTGCTTTCACAAAGCCTTTTTGATGCCGAGGACATTTTCACCTGGTCTTTATTTTCAATGTTTATTTATTTACTTTGATATATATAGAGAGAGCAGGGGGAAGCAGAGAGAGAGAGAGACAGAGAGAGGACAAGGATCCCTAGCAGGCTCTGCGTTGTCAGCTCAGACCAAGACTCAGGGCTCAATTCCATAAACTGAGATTGTGACCTGAGCTGAAATCAAGAGTCAGATGCTTAACTTGACTGAGCCACCCAGGAGTCTCCATTTTTATCCAGTCTTTTAAAAAAGAAATCTCTAAAATGCCAGCTTTCTATGCCTCTCAACTACTGTGCAAGACAAGTGCCCTCATGCCGTCTCTGAGTTCCCCTTCACACCTTGTCCCTTCCCTCCCTTCATCCCTGACTCTCTGGAACATCATTATGAATACCAGGATGTTGGATCACTGGCGGCCATCTTGGAGGCTGCCTACCACGGGCCTCTGGGCCAGGTTGCTGTTGAGTCTGTTCAGCTTGTGGGCCCTGACACCCCCCAGCAGTTCTGATAAGCCAGTGGCTGTGAGGGGCAGCAGGAAAGGAGCTCTGTGGTCCCCCCTCCTCCTGGGAGGTGGGTCCCTTCACTGGCATAGCCTTCTGAAGCCTTGTCAGGGGCAAATGATTCTAAATTTCTAAACTAGGTACACTTAACCTCCACTCTTCCATCCCGTCCCTCCTTCCCTCTAAGGGAAGAGGCCAAGACAGCGCTCTCTCCGACGTCCTTGCCACTTCTGAGTAAACCCTCCAGGACATGGTGGCTTTCCCCAGAGTTCATCTAGCACTCACCTTGGGCACCAATGTTATTCGGTTTTCTTGTCACCAAAATGGGCCCTGGTCGTAAACCAGAGAGTGAAATTTATGCCATTAGGTCAAGGTTCATTGTCTTCAACACAAAAGCAGAATGTCATAAATATCTTTATGGGTCACGAAATATTTCCGCCTCCATTAATTGGATCGTCCTCACGTCCTAACACGAGGCAGGATGTTTCTCCTCCTGGACGTGAGGAAACTGAGCTTCAGGTTGATTAAGTAACTTGCTCGAGATTGGACAGAAAGAAATGGATTTTAACACCAGTTCTCCTGACTCCAATTCTGTGCTCCGCCCTGCGTCCCTTTTAAAGTTGTTTGCATCCCCGAGTCTCCAGATTACTCCCAGTAGGAATCTGGCGAGACTTCCTGGCCCAGTTTTGCTGCTTAAGTCATTCTCGATCAGGGCTGCAGTGACCTGAGAAGAGAAGTAGAGCTTAGCGGGGACACGGGATGCCAGAGCTGAAGGTTGGTTGCCCGGCAGACAGGGCTGGTGACTTTGGAGAGTCTGTGTGTGTGTGTGTGTATGTGTGTGTGTGTTTCATACACTCTCATCCCTCATCTTAGGGATGTTCTACTCAGGCCTGTGTGTATATATGTGCATGTGAACATACACATGGTGCCGGTGGACATAGCTGCCTCAAACCTGCCTGGGCTCAGGAATGATCCCTGGAGGGTGCCATGTTGGCAAGGTAGAAGCTGGGCTGTTGGGACCTGGAAAGTGGGGTAAGGTGGGTGAGTTGTGGGTCCCGCAGTATGACAACAGTAGTGTTGGGGGGGGGTCCCTGAGCCCATCCTCTGACCTCTCACAGCTCCAATCTCTTCCCTGATCTTCAAGTTATTGTCCCGTTTTTGATGAGACATCTTTGATCAATTTCTGCAGCCTGAAAACCGGACCGCGTTGTTGGGCATTGGTGAAGGAGATCACGGTCCTGCCTTCACGAGGATCACGGTCCCACCAGCGGCTTCTTGCCGTGTGTCTTGGCCCTGTGCCTGCTGCTTTGCAGGAATTATTGCACGACAAAAATCCGCAGGGCCACCAAGGATGAGTTCTTGTCATTGCCTCTATTTTATAGATGAGAACACAGAGATTAGGAAGTGTACCTATCCCACTTCTGGGGGCACAGCTAAGCAGCAGCTGGGCAGTGCAGGCCCGCCTTCTTCATTCCTTGCCGCCCTCCGCTGCAAACAATTGTTCAACACCCAGCCTCGCCTTTTTAGGAGCTTTGGCCAATTCTCTTATCAGTTGCCCTCTTGCGATGTTGAAATACCCAACGATATTGCAGAAACACAAGAGCCGCCCGGAGAGAGCTGGTTTTCCTGCAGGGCTTGCACAAGGGTGGATCTCAAGGGCCAGGTCTCCGCTGGGCACAGGATACCCACACGACACAGTCCGCACCTCCCGCGTGTCAAAGAGGCACATTAGAGCCCTCGTTGTTTAAGTGGGTTTCTGACTCAACAAAACTTCCTTTTGTCAGAACTTCAAAATGTCCTGGCATGTTCCCGCACGTATTTTCGCTGTGGATGGCAGTGATGTTTCATTATACATCACTTGTGTATATTTGTGCCTAGAAAGATTCGTTTGGTGCTGGCAACTAAATATTTCTCCCCAGTTTCTTTTTTCTTTAAGTTTATTTATTTATTCTTGAGAGAGAGACAGAGAGAGAGAGAGAGAGGGAGAGAGAGTACACAAGTGAAGGGGGAGACACAGAATCAGAAGCAGGCTCCAGGCTCTGAGCTGTCAGGACCGAGCCCGACGCAGGACTTGAACCCACAAACTATGAGATCATGACCCGAGCTGAAGTCGGATGCTTAACCGACTGAGCCACCCAGATACCCCTATTCTTGAAATCTCCCCAATTTCAAGAGACCCCTCCCCTCCTTGGCCTCTGGGAGATTGATAATTGCTCTTTTCTCTTTTAACTGGAGGTAACAGTCTTCCATATATTCAATTGTCTGCTTCCCCCCAAACTATCCATATTAGTTATAATATCTTATGTTTTACAAGCGTACCTCTCTCATTCCTTCCCCCACCCCCTCCAGAAACCTAGTTAAATGAGCTACACCAGGGACTTGCAAGAGCTTCCAGATGGGAGAAGGCAGGACAAGAAGAGATCGGAAGCAGGTAAGCAAGTCTGGCCTTAGGTCTTGACCCTGGTGTGTCCTCAAAGTAGGCAACGTGTGGGCCAAGAGTTGACTGGAAATTAAGATCTGACTTCTGAGCTTTAAGAAACACAGTCTAGGAGGGGAGAGAGACCTATGCCAGCTAAGTAACATGCAGCGGGATAAATGGCCCTGGTGAGCCATAAATGGCCCCCTTGGTGAGGCGCAAGGGGGCACATGTGCAAGTCCACGTGCAGGGCTGGCCAGCTTCCAAGGGAAGAGTCCCCAGAGCAGCCGTGGAAAGAGAGATAAAGAGACATGTGGAGCGAGGGACATGCATCTAATTTATAATCGTTGTGAGGGAAGAAAACATCTCACATCCAGCAACTACAGATGGAAGATACCCCACGGTGCGGCATCGATGTAGGCAAGACCTGGCCATGTCGGGGGGCAGGGGGAGCAGAGAGGATGGGGCACATGTTGCACCAGAAAGGAATGCACAGGCGGGTTGAGAGGAAAGCAGACTCGGTCTTGAGTTCGAATTCAGTATATTTAGGCCTCATGGACTTTTCCTACTAGATAAGGTTTCACTTGGCTTTTTCGAGAAGCCTGAATCCTGGAGGTCATGGCTGCCAGCGATTGCATTGTTGATGTTTCTGGGCGCTTCGCATGATGTGTCCCATTTAACCTTTCCCAGAATCCTACAAGGGAAGTGTATCATTGCCATTTTACAGACCAGGAAGACTTCACGCTCAGCGAGAGAGGGGCAGTGATTTGCCTACTTAAAAGCAGTACTCGATGGTGCTAGGAATTGAACCCAGCTTTTGCCGTGAGTGAGCTGTTATCTGTGTGTTGTATTTATTAGGATAATGCCCCGCTTCTGCTAATCAATCTTCTTCTTTTTTTCTTTTTTTTCCAAGGTTTTTATTTATTTTGACAGAGACAGAGGGAGTGCAAGCAGGGGCGGGGCAGAGAGACAGGGAGAATCCCAAGCAGGCTCCGAGCTGTCAGCACAGAGCCCATGTGGGGCTCGAACTCACAAACCTCGAGATCATGACATGAGCTGAAGTCAGACGCTTAACCGACTGAGCCACCCAAGTGTCCCTGCCAATCAACCTTCTTTTGTAGTAACTATCGCCAAGTCAGCTAGTCCGTGGTTTCCTCTGTGCCCTACATGCGTGTGTAGCTGCCTTATGTTTGGATTCCCCAAATCCTTAGTAATTCCAGGGGCAGCCGCTGTGGCAATGGCTGAACATTCATTTACTAATGCTTTTGATCCAAGGGCCTGGGGACAGAGAATGTGATGAATGAGATCCCTGCTCTTATGGAATCTGTCTTCTAGTTAGTTAGGAGAAAATAAACAAACGAATATCTCATAAGATATATATATCAGTCAGAGATGGTGTGATGCACGGAACTGAAATAGGAGATGTGGTAGTGGCTGGTGGCTACTCTCTGTTGTCATGGAAGTCCTCGCTGAAGAATTCACATTTAGGCTGGGTCCTGACTCATAAGAGGGAGAGACCCATGTGGAGATCAGGGGAAAGTACATCCGAAGCAGAAGGAAAGGCTGAAGAAGGATGTTAACATGGGAACAAGCTTGGTGGGCTTGAGAAAAAGAGGAAGGCCAGTGTGGTTCTGCAGTGAGTGGTTGTGGGGTGGCTAAGCCCAGAAGGATAGGCGGGGGCTAGATCAAAGAGACCTTTGTAGGTCAGGGTAAGGAATTTGTGTTGCATCCTAAATGGAATGGGAAGCCATTGGGGGTATTGGAAGTGGAATGATTTAATCTGACTTATATGTAAAGAAGATCACTCTGGGTCTTCTGGGGAGAAGGAATTGTAAGGGCGAAAGAGTGGAAGCAAGGAGACCAGTTAGCACGTGTTCAGTGGTCCAGAATAGATGTTGCTGTCTTGACTGGGGTGGAGGTGAAGAGGAGTAACATAATGGCAGAGGGTGGGTGGGGAGAGGGTAATGAACTGGTTACACTAGGAAGCAAGAAGAATCAAAGGCAACCTTGAGATGTTTGAATTTGGCGAAGTGCTGAACGATGATGGCTTTCTCTGAGATGGAAAAGACCAGACAGGAACCTTTTAGGGGGTAAGGTGAAGAGCTCTCTTTGAGCCATCAGAACCTTGACATCCCTTTAGATTTACAAATGATGACATAAAGATGGCAGTTGGATATATACGTTTGGTCTTCGGGGAAGGGGTCAGGCTAGTCGTAAGATTTGGCAAATAGATGAGCTTTGAGGCAACACAACTCATTGATGTCATTTTGGGGACATGCAATGATAAAAAAAAAAAAAAAAAGAAAGGAGCCCAGAAATCATCTGTGTGGAGACTGAAAAGGAGGGGTGGGAGTGACATGAGAGGCAAACAGGACTGTGTGGTGTCAAGTCACACACTTGGTGGAAGCCAAGTGGGAAGATGTTTCAGGAACCTGAGGGTAGTCAACTATTACCCATGACCACTGCATTTTGGAAGATGATAAGAGAGAAGCTTGGGGTACAGTGGAGAGGTGTTTTTTTTTGACAAGATCATGGGTACTTTATCGTAATGGGAGGGAAGGCAGTGTGTATGTGTCGTTCATGAGATCTTAAGAAGCCACTATTGATGATAAGGGTGATGGTACAAAGGGAAACCAGTGTGCCAGAAACTGAGAGGCAGAGGCTGGTAACAACCAAGTATAGTCTGATAGGATGAGCTTCCAAGGACTAGGGAAGAAAAAGGTTTGAGAATGGCAGTGGGGATTAAGGGGAATAAACACCCACCTCCAGGTCCAGAAACCTGTGGGTCACGAGGGGAAAAACAGCCTTCCCTCCAAAGGAAAGAGGGTCTATTCTTGGGTGGTGATTTGACAAATCATTCTTGGTAGAAAGTCCCAGGGACGTATACGGTGAAATGTCTCCACATTTCAGCTTCTTATCCTCACCTTTTCAGATTTTGAAATCAATTTTATCTGTTTTCTCAAGGCTCCAAAGAAATCCCATACCTTTTGATCCTTGGCAGTTTTCTTCAAGTAATGTGGTGGATGCCATTTGTAATAGGGTCGTTTTTTCCCCCTTCTATCAAGAGCACAGGGCAACAGCAGGGTCCCTCCTTGGGAGGGTTAGGAAAGGCTTCTATGAATGGGTGAGTTATGCTCTGAGTTTTGGGGACATGAAGACCATTAGAAGTGGGAAGAGAGGAGGACTCAGGACAAAGGCAGTGGTACGTGCCCAGGGCTCGGCCAATGTGGGGAATGGCGGGGTGGCCAGTGCGCACACCTGTGTGTGCAGGGGGACAGTCGTGGTGATAGGAGCCCAGATTGGAGGGTCTTTTCTGGGACTAGATTTTGAGGAGCGTGCATTTTATCTCTAGGGAATAGGTAGCAAATACGTTTTCAATGGAAGCGGGACACGATTAGGACCTTCTTGGTTTTTCTCTGATTAGAATGTCATGCCTGGCATAGAGCTCGAATAAGCACTCGATAAATATTTGTTGAATGGATGAAGGGATATATTTATCAACGATGCTTCTTGCAGCCGCGTGTGGAGGATGAGCCGGAGGGAAAGAGAATAGAGGTAGGAAGACATATTGAATTCGGGGCGTGAGAGGGAAGGAGGAGTGGAGTTTCTACTTTGAGTGTCAGGAAGGTTGGTGACATCATCGACAGAAACAGGGCATGGAGATGCAGGTGTGTGTGGAAGTATGGGTATAGTAATAGATACCGATTTTGGCTTTGAACAGGTTTAGATATGACGAAAAGACAAAACACTTAGAGAAATTTGTTTAAAAATTAAAAAATACTTATTTTGGGGAGAGTGTGAGTGCAGAAGGGGCAGAGAGAGGGGGACTGAGGATCTGAAGTGGACTCTGCATTGATAGGCTGACAGCAGTGAGCCCAATGTGCGGCTGAGCTGAAGTCGAACACTCAACTGACGGAATCGGTGGATGTTTAGGTGAATTATCAAGGTCTTAATGGTACTAAAAACATAGAGTGATATGGTTTGGGGGAAGTGGTTTTGACCACGCTTAGTGGAAAATTATTAATAATTCAGGATGCCAATACAATAATTTATGATGGGATATATACCAATGAGTAATCTGTTAGGTCAATTTTCAGAAGATCATTGAGTAAACAAGACCAAAAGGGACCACTTTCGTCAACCCATAGAGCCAAGGTGGCACTCATCCCCTCAGAAAACAAATATGGATGTTCCCAAGTCCATGGCACCTTCTCCTTTTGCGCACTACTGGAGGAAACTTGTAGACTTTGGAAAGATCTTTTCCATACTTCCTTGCTTTCTCGCTAGAAAATAGGGCACACAATTTGGCAATTTCTTGATGGCTCAGGGACCTTATTAAGAATATGTATGATTTCTATTAGGAGTGATAATGCTGGAATGGCCTCGTTACAACTGGGGGCTGGAGTGGGGAGTTAGAATTGGTGGCCCCTTCACTAAATGGCTCATGGTCACTGTGCTTTTATAGGAAAGTGGTTTGCTAAAAAAAAAAAAAAAAAAAAAGGAAAGTGGTTTGCTTTTTGAGGTTCTTTCGTTCCTTCAGCTGTTGCCCAGAGTCTTGACAATGGGCTGGAAGAGTTTGTACCTCCTTGTCTGGAGGCTCAAAGACATTTGTTGAGTGGCTTTCACTTGGCTCCTATGCCTTGAGCTCCAGGCACCATACCTTGAAAATTTAGAGTACTTTTCATTGGTCTCATTGCTATTTCCTTGCTAGCATATATAGTCTTTTTCTTAAATTACAAAAATGCTTATTTATTTTGAGAGAGACAGAGAGTGGGGGGGAGGTCAGAAAGAGAGAGGAGCCAGAATCCGAGGCAGGCTCTAGGCTCCAAGCTGTTAGCACAGAGCCAGAGGTGGGGGTCGAACCCACGAACCATGAGAGACCATGACCTGAGCCGAAGTCGGATGCTCAACTGATTGAGCCACCCAGGTACCCCAGATTCCTAATAGTTCACTCACTTGATGGATTTCTAGGCAACCTCTAGCATAACTGAGGAATCTCTAAGAACAGGAGAAAA